CCCCCCCGACCACCCCCTCCCCCCCACTCCCCTCCGAACCTCGCCCACTCGCCGCCCCGAAAGCTTCGCCGAGTACATCACATCGCTTATGTGGCAGCCCTCCCCGAAAATCGTCCATTGCAACATCATCAATGAATCAACCCTGAAAAAAGTAAAAATTGATTTCGTCGAAAAGAAAACACGTCATGCAACGAATGGCGGCATATGCAGTGCTGACGGCTCTTCAATGGCACCCATCTCCCTGCCCAACTCATATCGTCGACACGGACGACTCTTCAATGGCACCCATCTCCCTGTTCGACTCATATCGTGGACACGCCATCATCGTGCGGTCTACTACCGTGCTCCTTGATAGAAGAATTCGAGAAAGAAAAAAATAAAATAAAAATTAAGCCAACTACGAACGCAATGACTGGACTTCAATCAACACACGATCGAACGGTCTACATCGGCGACCGACCACGGATGGCGGCAGCGATCTCCATAAGCGCGTGGCACATCATCCTTTGCGTCCACACGTGGTTAACCAGGGGTGTTATTTTCGACGAATTTTGCACTGAATTGCACTGAAACTGCCATATTGTGCTGATTTTTTGCTTTTTTTCTTGTTTTTCTTTTTGTGTGATATATATGTGTTTTAGGGTACATAATGTGTGCAGTTTTAACATGTTTTGATCAATAATGAAAAAGCTGGCGTTGGACGCTTCATTTTGACTCGAACAGTGTCTTTGTGTTAGGGTTTCATAGTGTTTTTATGTTTTTTTTTTTTGTTTTTTTTGGCCTGTTTCCTTTTTGTATGTTTGCACTATGGTCTCATATCATTTATTTTTAAAATTTTTGATGAAATTTGTGCCGCAATTGCCAACGAAAACGGCGAATATTTGGGCCCCCGTTAACCGTCTCTCTTTGCGTCTCATCGAACGCCGCATAATGCGCTTTTTGGACTGCAACTTCCTCCTCAAGTATGTCGTATTGCCTTGTGAATATGTTGCATTGCCGCTTGCTAGACGAATTGATTGTCGACGACATCAGTTCGCCATGGCGGTCCATCACATCAGCGATCGACTCCAACGCCTGTTGACGTGCATTCTTCCGCTTCCCGCCTCCAGCCCCACTGCCTGCGTCGTTGTCGGAGTCCCTCGCAGCAGAACGTTCTTCAAGGAAGCCTTCGGCCTCACTACCAACAGACTCCCCACCAGCTGCTCCTCGCCTGGGCAGTTGCACCCCGTCCGGACTGGCGATGTCAGCGACGTTGGGAGGGAAAATTGTATGGTTCCCCAGCATGCCTGCGTGGATGTCGTTGTACAGCACCCTCTCCATCCGGAACTTGAAGTTGTGCTCCTTCCTTTCTTCATTCGATAGCCTGAAGAAATCTGCCTGACCGCTGGCATTCTGAAACCTCTGCATCTTCTTGTAGTTTTGGAACAGATTGCCCCACTTCTTCATGCAGTCGTCGGCGTCTTTAGGCCTCCCCGCGTTCGCCATGCGCTTCGCAATGTCGTCCCACTTCCACTCCTTGGTCCGCATCCGCCTGTAATTGTGACCCAACCCGGCGAGGTGCATCTCTTGCTCCCGCTTGCATCTCACCAGGAGCATTTGGTCGTCCGTAGACCAGTACGTCGCAGACTTCCCGCCGTCGTCGCCGACGCCACCTCTGCCGCCACGGCCAACGGATCGACCACGAACAACACCTCTGCTGCGTCCTTTCCCCCTCCCCGAAGGCCGAATAGGAATGTCGTCGTCGTCGTCCCCTGCTTCCACGTCCTCCCTGAATCCTTCGTCGGCATCGTCACCGCCACTGCCATCGTCGTCGCCGCCATCGTTGTGTGCCTGCATGTTTGACACTCCTCGTGTGATGTTCTCCACAGTGGGTCTTGGACGCACCGGTGCTCTGCAGGCGCCCTCGTCCATTAGGTCGGGTTGGGTTGGCGTTGTGCGGTTGGGCATCGACGAACGTGCACCGCCAATGCGCAGGGACCCTGCTGCGACTCCAGTGCGTGCGGGCCAGGTACTTGTCAATCGTTCGGCCGATGGTGCAGTCGATCAATGCTGCCAGGCTGCTGGCGATGGCCTGACACCGCCAGTAACGGACACACCGCCACGAAGTGTGGACTGTTCCGTATGCTGACTTCCAGCATGTTGAAGGCCACGTGGCGAAGGATCGGCGTCGATGATGAATGTACGGCTCGCCTCCCTAGCACCGCCAGAACACAACCGGAACCTGAGATCAAATCCTCCGTCGTCGTCGTCTCCCAAGCCTTGCTGCAGGAGTGAGGTGAACTCACCGCCTTCACTGCTAGCCGACCCGCCTGCTCGCACCGTCTGCGACAACAGCTGCGTCGACCCGCTGGCGAGAGGCAACGTTGGAAGTTCTTCCATCTCCGGCTCCTCGTCCGACGGGGGCAGTGGCGTCTCCCACGACTCTAGATGGGTGTACAAGGACGGGTCGTACCGTCGTGGAGGCTCTGTCGTCGCAAGTCGTCTTTCGCCTTGACCTGCAGCCAGAACCGCGCGTGCCTGCATGCCCGCCATCGGTCGTTCCCCTGCCTGCCCTTTCGTTGACGCCCTCCGCTTGCGACGTTGCTTCCACAATCGGCACGGCAAACACACGTGGAGGAAGATGACAAACAAGAAGACAACCACAACGAGCACCACCAGAGGCAATCTCCTCTGCATGTCTGCCATCAATTTCACCTCGGGAGGCACCCTTGCACGCGACTAGTGCAGAACTATCTTCTGGCATGCCGGTGGATAGGGCCGCTGGACTTTCATATATCGACAACCACCATAGAAGACGACAAAGGTGCCTGCCTGCGATTCAAAATTGACCGTTGTCGCCCGCGCACTGCCCGAAGCGCCTCTGTATGTGGTCCCGCGCACGTCGTCGTCCTCCTCCGCTACCCGCAATCGAGCCAACGGTCCACTACGGACGCCCGCCCACCCACGCTCGACCCCCCGCGCTCCACCCCGTCGGCCAACGGCTACCGTTGGTGGCCGTTGCCGGCGTCGACCTGCAGAAAACCTCCGATGTCCGACCACCCACCCGACGGACCGCTCCTGGACCAGCAACCCCGTGTCGACGGTGCCATGCATGCGACGCAACGAGTCCGTGAAACGTGGGAATCCTAAATTTTTCAGTACGTCGGGGGCTACTGGAAAATTTAGGACGATTGTGCCTAGGGAATCCTAAATCCTTCAGGACTCGTCCTAACACCGTTTTCACATTTTCGATCTCGAAATTGGATTTAGGATTGCGTGCAACCAAGACGCAATCCTAAAAGCGGGCACTTTTAGGAGTGTCTAACGAGACCCAAAGTTCTGACCTGGGTACTCCATGGAAAAGTTTGTGCGCCTGCGTTTTTTTTTTTTTTTTTTTTAACAAGAAGACTCAGCTCATTTGATTACGCACACCAAAAGAGAGGCCGGGAATGCACCTGGAGCGGTATCCCTCCGGCCCGACAGTGAGGCCGGACCAGTTTCAGGCCGCCGGCCTGACCCTGGTCCGGTACCAGGTTATTCCGCTACTGGACCCAGGCCGGTATATCACTTCGGCCTAGGTCCAGGGCGGCAGGTTCAGTCATTCAGTTGTTCATTCTTTCGTGGAGCCGGACTGGACTTTCACTCAGCTGCTGCTTTTCGTGTATGTCCATTTCCTCTCTCTCTCCTTCTCTCACACCATCTCCACACGTGCCTCCTGCACGTCCGTCACATTGGTATCGGAGCAGGTTTCGACCTCTGCTCCCTCCCTCCCTCCCTCTGTCGCTGTCCCGCCATCACGGGTAGCTCTCTCCGAGCTCGTTTTTGCAGTTGCACCTGGTCCGCCAACACGACCAGGTACGTTCTTCATCCAAGTTGGCGCCTTTCTCCTCGGCAAACCCCACGACGGCGCTACTTGAGATGCTGAGGTCATCGTACCGGCGGCCCACACCGACCTGCTGCCACGTGTACCCTAGCTCGCCCGTCGCCCCCACAGAGTGAATGGTCGGTGAAGTGTTGGCAAAGCGCCCACTTCAGCGGGTAGCAGTCAGGCTGTGAGAGGCTCATCGAACCTTATCAGTGGGAGGAAGGAGAAGTCCTAACAAGGTTTCCACAGGTGAACCTGCGGAAGGATCATCGACATCGACACAAGGAGGGCCGACTCCCTACCACGTCAGCGCCTCCTTCCCCTCTAGTTCCCCTCCTTCCCCCCCCCCTTCCCCCCCCGCCCCCGGTGTCGC